CTATTCATCTCTGCTGTTGTGCAAAAGCAGTCATAGATGATATGTCAACAAATGAGTCTGTCTGTGTTCCAATAAAACTTTATTTACAAAAACAGCATTCTGGCTTTGGCCCATGAGCCATAGGTTGCACACCTCTACATAACATTGAAGTTAGAGAAACTACTATGTCTAATAAACTAAGTTTCACTTTTTTCTCAAGTTTTTGAGATAGAAAAAATTAAAATGTATAATATAAAACTTATTTTGGGGTCAGCATTATCAAAAAACATTATTTAGAAATCTTTATGATTGAAAGATGTTGGATGGAAAAGCAAGGCATGGAAAGCCACATGTGGATAGACAGAAGAGAGAGGGAGGTTGAATGAAATTCTCTAAAAGGAAAAGCATAGAATTTCTGTACTAAATTTGAACCTTAGGCAGGAGGCCTAGAATCCTGAAAACAAGGAATCATTACTTGTAAATATACAAACAGGAACTAATTTAGATTCTTAAACTGGAAGTAGATTCTGCAAAATATTTTCAGCTGTATGAGATCATCCTTCACTGAAAACGTTCCAGAATTTTCTTCCCAGTCCTGTCCCTGGCTTGATTTTCAACTCCAGAACTGAAAGAGAAGGCTAGTTAGCAGTTTTCACTGGTTCATTCATAATTCATGCAGGAAATACCATTTGAGCACCTACAGTGTCAGCCACTGAGACGAGTTTTCTTTGGTAGGGTTAGTTAAAAGGGTTAGAGAACAAACAGCAAAGAAGATGTTTGTATGGGTTTTGATAAATTATTCCCCTTATTTAATGCATGAAATATGGCTAAAAAGCAGCTATGCAGTTTCTTAAGATAAAGTCATTTTTGGTTACAACGTAGAGGAGAATCAAGACTATATATAGAACTTCAAATTCAAAATGAAAAAGAAAGGGAACAGAAGGTGTTGAGTACTTACTCTATTCAGGTACATAATGAATTTATATTTATGTGTGTATATATATATAATTCAGAACTCATAAGATTAAACCTTATCCCCCTTACCCCATTTTTTAGTTAAGGAAATGGAAATTAAGTAACTTACCTGAGATCTTACAGCTATCAAATGGAAGGACAAGATTTGAACTATGCCCTAACTCACTCCAAAAGTGTATCTGTTTTTTTGTCATTTTGCATTGACATATTTTAGAACTACAAGTAAAATACAAAAATAGAAAAAAACTGAAGATGGACTATTACAGTAGATAAAACATTGAAATTAACCAGCAAAAAATAGGGAGAAACATACAAACTTTGAACTAATAAAAATAGAAATTTCCAGAACTGAAAACACCCAAGATTGTAAATAGAGAGTCCCCAAACTTCTGTGCAAAATTAGCACAACTGAAAGGCAAGAAACATTCTAGCTAAAATGTTTAGCTACAAAGATTTTTTTTTAATCTGTAAATTAGGAAGAATAGTAACATTAATTCCAAGGGTGTAAAATCAGTTTACCTTTAGATTTTTTTCTGATAGTAGCGGGGGAAAACAGTGCAACAAGCAGTTCTGTCAGGAATAAGAGCTGTGAGAAAAATAGTTTCAAGTTGTCATTCATGTATATTGGCAGCAGAAAAACAATCTTAAGAAAATTTGTATTCTTCCTACTCAGTAGATTTCTACAGATTATATACTTTGAAACTTTAGGTATTGAATTTTTGTCTTTGCCTCTCTTTCTCGCCTGTTGTCACCTTTTTTCTTTCCTTTCTTCTCTCTTCCCTCCCTCCCCTCCAACTGTGGAGCCATGAAATAGAATCTTGTAAGTGAAGCTACTTTTTGATCATGTGAGTCTTTTTTCCAAGTTGACATACTACCATAATGTTTTAAATGGATTTTCTTAATTTTGATAGTCTGTCTTTATATAAACACATGCATTTTGTTATTAAAATTTTAATTTTTACCATGATTATGCTTCTAAAAAAATAGTTTTCAGTTAGAAAATGTCTAAGTGTAATTAATTGCTTCTAAGTCTTCCAAAGAAGAAAAATTGTGTGTATTTAGTAAGTAAATCAGCTGAAAACTAAAACTAAAATTTCTATAATTTGAATGACTGACGTCGTCATTTTTGAAAGAAAATAATGCCGAAGTTGAAGGTTCCAAGTATATGTATAGGTGGGATAACAATATATAACAAATGTATTCTTGGTCATTATTTAAAATAAGTTCATATTCATAGCTTATAAGTTTGATGCATTTGGGAGGATGACATCAGCAAGAGAAAGTTTGCATTTAGTGCCATGTTAACGTTTCAGGAAATATGTCAAGTAAGAGCAGTTGATTTTCTACTTTCGTCCTTTCAGACTTGCTTTCTTTCTGTTGTGCCATCTGTCAGTTTTTCTGTATTTAAAGTTCCAGATAAAGTATTAATGTATTGTCACCTTTCTTGTTTGCTTTGCCCCCTCAGTGGTAGATTTTACGTATAAACCCATTGCTGTGTTGTAATTTATAATTGTGATATTGACACACGGATGTCACCAGTACAGTAATATGTGATTCTTTTTTGCAAAGTTATATCCTAAATAAGGACTTTTAATCTGGGGGATTGGGTAGGGAGGAGGACAGAGAGTGTTAGGAAAGAACGGATGGTATTATAGCAGTCATCCCAAGTGGATCTGTCATTTTTAAAATATTGAATACTGCAGTCTTAAGGAATTCTGTATTCTCAGTGGGGAAGGGTAATAAGTTAGTAACTGAAATTATTGGGGACATTGACTCAACTATATAGAATTTTGTAAGTTTAATAGTTTTGCTCCTTTCCACTGTCATGTGTTCAATATTTAATTTACATGCTGTGGTACGAAGTGGTTACACATATGCTGATTTAGTCTATTATTTGTTAGGTAGCTTTTGGGACACTGATCTCTTGTGACAGTACAGTATGTATTTCTGCCTTAGAACTCAGTGGCAGCAACGTGTACCTATCTTAGAGATCAAAAGAAGAGTATTGTTCCTTTTCACCTGAAGAAAGGCCTAAAAAACACTGTCTGTAGGAGTCAGACGGCCATTTCATTTAGAAATAGCATAAAGAGTACTATTTCTTTGTAGTGTTTATTATTCAAAGAAACTTAATGCTCTGTAATAGAGGCCTGTAAGAAGTACGAATCTAGTGAATAACCCCCACCAAGCCACACTATGGAGGAGCATGTAAAAGACTTTGCTTTTGAAGAGAAAGTCTAGAACTATTAAAAAGACACCACATATTTGTTAATATGTTTATGTTTCATATTAAAAACCAGTTAGGAGAATGGGGAGAAAAAATTGGAAAGGGCTGGGAAAAATATAATGAACAGTGACAGTCTTTTAAAATCCATGTAATTTCATATTGATTTAACTGACCACCTCCAGATTGGTTTTTCACAGATTTGGTTCTGTCTATAAGTAATATTCTTGCCATTAACAGAATAATTAACCTTTATTTTCAAAATGGTCTGTAATTCTAGTATTGAGTTTTTCTTTGCTCCATCAGTAATTTAGGAGATTTAGTATTGGTTTGGTTGTATGTGTTTTGTGTATTATTTTTGTTCATTCTTTGGGTTATTATGTTTACTTTGTGCTATATAATTTTGCTTTATTATACTAGGATTAAATAATGGGTTCTGTAAGATTTTAAGACTTTGGAATATTGAAGTCTTCTTTGTTCTGTTATAATAATATTTTGTTAATATTCAGTGAAATAGGTACAATTTTTATAGAGTAAAAAGTTTGATATACATTAATTCAGTCTCATTAATTATTAATTATGCCTGCTATGTCCTTACCTGCCAGAGACTGAGATGATTATGATAGTCTCTCTGTACAGTGCTATTTTTGTCCATTGTTTTCTTACCATTCTTCAGATTATACACTTTTAATGTATACATTATTAAATGTAGACTAGCTTATACGTTTTTTAATGTAAAATGAACATCTTTCCCATTTACTTTTTTTGCTTTGAATTCTACTTTATCATGTACTAATTTTATTCTTCTCAGCTTTTTAGATTTATGTGCCTATTATATTTTTGGCCATTTAAAAAAAGTTTTACATTTTCATATTTTGCTTTTGAGTATCTCTCAGTAGCAGCTTCTGGTTGGAAATTTGTTTACTGTTCTTTTTGTTGTTTAACAAAATTCAGAATTCTTCTTTATCTTTAAATTTGACATTAAGAGCCTAGCACATTGAACCTGTAGTACCAGCTACTGGGGAGGCTGGGGCAGGAGGATTGCTTGAGCCCAGGAGTTCAAATCCAGCGTGGACTAGGTAGTGAGATGCTGTCTCAAAAAAAAGGGGGTGGGGAAGTATATATTTTATACTCTGTCCAAACATCTGATAGTTTATCTCTGTAGTCCTTTGGAGTTCAGCGCTGTAGGGAAGCCACAAATATGAGACCAGCCTAATTTAATTTTTTTTGGTATTAATGTGATTGACTTTTTAATTTTGGGGATCTTTTTCCCTTATCCGTATAAAAAATTATAAAACTATTTTTTGGTGGAGGGAATATTTGAAGTTTTGCCTACGGTACAGCAAGTTCTTACAATCTGTAGGCTCAGGTCTTTCCTGAGTTCAAAAAACTTTTTAAAACTTTCTGTTCCCGTTGTGGTTCTGTATTATTTATAAGTTAGAACCTTACACTCCTTATATCAGTCATCTTTTTCTTTAAACATTTGTACTACTTTGTCACCTCAGTATTCTGGGAAAATTTCTTAAGCTTGTTCACAAGTCTTTACTTAATTGAGTTTTCTTAATTTGAGTAGTGTTTCCCAACTTGACTTTGTTACAAATTTTAATTTTGCAATTGCAGTTTTAATTTCCTTGCTATATGTCACTTTCTCTGCAGCTCCCCTTTCCTATCAGCCCGCACCTCAGTTTGTTTACTTTGCGTGTTTGCCTGTTCTCTTCTTAAGACATTCTTACTCACTGAGCCCTTGTCTTTTGGATTCCATTTTGATTACTCTGTAGATGTTTTCTAAAGTTTTTTTTTGTTTTTTTTTTTAATTAAAAACCAAAAAAATACGAACTGCTTCATGAATTTGCATGTCACCCTTGCGGAGAGACAGTGCTAATCTTCTGTGTATTGTTCTAGTTTTAGTATATGTGCTGCCAAGTCAAACACTAAAGTTAAGTTTCTTATATTAAATCATTTCAGAGGTATGTATTTCCTTAGAGGTTTTTTTTCTTTTTTTTTTTTCTTTTTCTACTACATTTTAGAGGAAAAAGTTTTCAATATATTTCTTTTGCCATATGATTAGTTTTTATACACCTACCTCCATATTGGTTTTCTTCTGTTACCTGTCCTTTATAAGAGGGAAACACTATTCAGATTTAGAGTGTGCTAGCAGTTAGGATGTATGGATTGCCTCTGACCACCTGTTTATAAGACTACCACTTATAACCTGTTTATGTACTAGAAGAATCCTTGTGCTGGTGGTTTTGTTCATCGGATCTTTTATATTCTCTATTGCCTAAGGCATAACTTCATTACATTGTTTTTTTAAAAAATGAAATCATGAAGACTGGAAAAGAGAATCTGTTTTATTTTTCTTAAGAAAAAAATGTTAGGCTTAGCCCAAGCTTTACCTCTTCGTAGTAGCTTTATTAGACCCCTCCTAGGCTGAGCTACACCTCCTTTTCTGTATTCCCAAAACAAAGTCATAGCCAGTACCGCAGCTTTATCACGTTATATAATTTAATTACATGATATGAATGGTTTACTTGTTGTCTTGCCTTTTATGGTTACAAATTCCTTGTGGGGAGTGACTCCTTTTTCATCATTATCTCAGATGCTTACCGCAGTTCCCAAAACCTTATTAGCTATCAGTAAATGTTTCATTAATGATTGAGTAATCAAATTGCTATCTTTGGGAAAATATTAGAATAAACCGTCTAATAAGCATGAAATACTAGAAGGAAAAAACAACTTGGTATTGTAAAGAGGAAATTATACCATATAAGTTTGATTTCATCCTGTTGTTGCAATAAAGCAAGAGGCAATACACTAGTTTATCTTGATCTTAAAAAAACAGATGTTCCATTAAAGAAAAAACCAACAACAGATGTTCCCTTTGAATAATACTGATAAACTAGAAAAATCTTCCGTCGCTTGTAGTACTGTCAAAAAAGCAAACAACTGACTCAGTGGTGATAGTCAGGTGGCATATACTAAACTCTAGGGATACTCCTCATACAGCCAATAGCATTGTTCTCAGAAATTAGATCTCTGACATGTTCTGTTTAATATTTAATTTCTCTTCTCTGGATTAAAAACAACTGATGGCACACTCACCAAATTTTCATGAGAATAATATCTGCACTTTGATTCAGTGAATTTCTCCATTTATGTTCTTCAGAGTCAGCTTAATCTAATTCTGTACTTTACATTTTACATTCTAACATCTTGATCCACCCATGTGTAGGTTTCAGTAGCAAAGCCAGGGATAGACAATGATTGTTAGTGTTTACACAGAGTACTAATCAACCCATGAGAACTTTTCTCCCAGTCTCCAAGGTTAAGTGGTGTCTGTGACCCAGTTTTAGGGACGTTAAAATACAGAAAATATTTCATTGGAATCAATGAAACATGGAACTATTATGTTCTGTAAAATAAGAATTTTAGTGTTACAGGGTATTTGATACTTACTACATGTCTGGAATTAGAATAAGTAAACTGTGGCATATCCATTTGATAGAATATATTTATCTTTCAAGAATTATGCCTCGTGAAAGAATACATGTGATTACAACTTTTTAAAGCAACTATTTTCATAGAAAATAATTAAACAGAATTAACAGCAGAGTGGTAACGGTGGTTATATTTTGGATGGTAGGCCTTGCTAAAATATATATATATAATTTAAAGACAGGGTTTCACCATGTTGGTCAGGCTCGTCTTGAACTCCTGACCCTAGATGATCCACCTTGGCCTCCAGAGTGCTTGGATTACAGGTATGAGCTACCACGCCTGGCCCTTTTTTTTTTTTTTAAAGCTAAAATATTTTTTAATTTCCAGATTTTATTTTATAAATGGTGGCAGTGGGGTGGTTTATAACACTTATCAGGGGATCATTTTGAAATAATTCATGCTATACTAATTTCCTTTTTTTGAAGTTTCTGGACTGTTATAAAGGTAATCTGAAATACTTCACTGAAATTTGAATGTTTCAATGATATCCTTGGGGGAATGATGGGGAAGCATGGTTGGATGAAAGTGTCATGAACTAGATTAGGAATCAGCAGATCATAGGTCTCTCTGACCCATTAGTGACTCGAATTCAGGATAATAACAAATCAATGAAAATATTTAGTTGTGTTACAGTGTGTTGTGGCTGCTAAACACAATTAACAACCTAATATAAAAATAAGAATTGCTTGTGCCATGTGTCTGCAAGGGATAGAACCAGAACTAGTAAACAGTGAATTTTCCAGTACTGAGAGCAGGAATGGACTGATCAGCAAGGTTCTGAATTGCCTTTCATTAGAGATACTCAGTTATAGGTTGGGCAGTCACAAGCAGGGATTAAAACATAGAATGGGTGGCTGAACTAGATGACATTTAGAGCTCCTTCCAACACTGATACTGTATAACTTTCAGAGACCTGAATAAGGTTTTAAAAACTATTTCACTTTGTGAAGTAGTAGCTGTTTGATAGGCAACAGGTTGCATAGTGACAAAGCTGTTCTAAGTGACTATAGGATTCGTTAAAATAGAGTGCTGTGCACAAGTCACCACAGACATGTAGGCAACATATAAACAAGTAAGACGTTTCGTTGTTCTTTCTTTAGTGAGGTTTTTATTAAAGTATATAAATAACAAATACCTGATCAAATAGAGGTCAGTGTAATGAGAGACATATAAACAAGAACTATGAGGATTAAAATAAGGGAATTATATATTGAGAATATCAGGAAATGCCAATAATATTTAATTTTTCTAAGTTGAAAAATCTGTCCAGTGCCCAGTCCTAAAATGCCACATGTGTTAGTCCATTTAGGGTTGTTAAAAAGGAATATCTGAGGCTGAGCACTTTATAAAGAACAAGGTTTATTTGGTTCATGATTCTGATGTATAGGAAAGTGTAAGATTGGGACCTGCATCTGTCAAGGGCCACAGGCTGCCTCCACTCATGGCAGAAAGTGAAGGGGAGCCAGGTGTAGAGAGATCACATGGTGAGAGAGGAAGCAAAGGAGGTTAGAGGTGCCAGGCTCTTATTAACAACCAGCTCTCACAAGAACTAATGGGATAAGAATTCACTTACCCCACACCCAGTGAGAGCATTAATCTCTGTTCATCAGAGATCCACTCCCATGACCCAGACACCTCTCTTTAGGCCCCCGCCTGTAACATTAAATTTCAACATGAGATTTTCTGGACACACATCAAAACTATAGCACTATGCTTTGGCACTGGAATAAATGATATAATAATTAGGTTCTTCTCCAACATGGAACTCACCAACTACTCTTATTTTAATTTTTTAACACTAAGAAGAATTCAGGTTAGGACCAAGGAAGACTCAGAGAAGCTAATCTCGGGTTACCAGAATGTAATCTTAAGACCTTTCTTGGGTTCCATTTGATTTAGAATTTCACATAGACTTTCTCCTTTTCACTATAATCTCAATCCTCCTCTACACTCTTAGAGGCACCAGAAGTCAACCCATCCTAAAGCATTTTATGGTCTCTATGGTGGTTTCAGATAGAGTGTATGTATTTAATTTAAACTCATCACCAGAATATACTATAAAGTAGTAGTGTTTCATATGTGTATTATGTATAATATTAACATATTACATGTTACTTACATTACACACTGTATATGGAATACACCATATTTAGAGAAAGTAGCTTCAAAGCAATTTAGTTTGCTTTAATATAATACAATCTAGGATGTATATTTAATAACTGACAGACTTCTTGTTGCAATGAAAGGAAAAAGTAAAGGGAAGCTTTGTTATTTGCAAAGTAGAAACCCTTGACCTCTGCAAAAGTGGTTATGGTAATAGTGTTGATGGTGGAAGCCGGTTTAAAGTGGACAGTGAAACACTGGAGATAGCAAATACAGACAACACTTTTGTCAAGTTGAGCCCTGGAAGGGAGGAAAGAGAACAGTTAACTGAAGGGCGGATGTCAAGTCCAAGGGGAGATTTTTGTGCTGCTGTTGGCTTTTTTAGTGAAACAGCTGTGAATGGCACATGCTGATGAGAAGGAGCCAGTAAAACAGGAGAGGTTGAAAACAGTCAGGAAAAGGAATAAACATGAAGATCCCCCCCTCCTCCAAAAAAAAAAGAAAGAAGGGACAATACATAAAACATAGGTGAGGGATGGCTTTTGATAGGATGAGAGAATGGGTCAGTTGCAGGAAAGTGTGGTAGAGGGAAGTTCCTGAGGGAGATCTCGCCTGAAGGCAGTCGTCTGTATAAAGAAGGATATGGGCTTATCTGCTGAGAACGAAAGGGAAAGAGGAGACCAAAGTCTAAGGTCTATAGTAAGTAGAAGAGGTTTAAAGTAGTCTCTGTGGAAAGTGGAAGAGCCAGAGGAAAAGGAAAACGTGGTAACATTTCCATCTGAGCTAAGGAACCTGTTAAGATTGTGTATCTCTCTTCTCTGTCCCCAGAATCTGGGAAAGAAAATTCGGGTTTGATTTTTCTCCGTTGCTGGTAATGTTTTATGAAGGTGGAATGAAGATTACAGAATAGGTGTCTTTATCTCTGGTGATGTCAGTGAGGCCTAGAATATAGGCTGTAGGCGGGGAAGAAAGGATCTATATAGAGCACTGTCTTCCTCCCTATTTCACCACTAGTAGTTGAACCTACCACCCATCAAGACTGCTGAAAACCTGGTGAAATTGTCATTCAGAACCCCTTCCAAACCATGTGATCTGCAGATAAAAGAGAGCTTTAATTCTTCCTTTCCAAAATGGATTCCTTTTACTTCATTTCACGCCTGATTGTGCTGATTAGAACCTCTGGTGCAACATTGAAGTGATAAGAACAGATACCCTTGTCTTGTTCCTGATCTTAGGAGGAAAACTTTCAGTCTTTCACCAATTAAGTATGATCTTCAATGTAGGTTTTTTTTTTTGTAGGCCAAGGAAGTTTCCTTCTTTTCCTAGTTTGC